AGGAATAGCTTGAAGCATTTAAGTGGGTCCCATTCAATTAAAAATGAAACATGTTGGGTTTTACTTCTTTAGCTGAGGACCATGACAATGTCCATGGTTGAAACCAACAGTAAAGGGTAGTTAATGAAAAGATCTTTGAAGAAAATTAATATTCATGAAAGCCACAAAACTGGGTTTCTGATGTAGATTAGATACAGTTTAGCTTAGTTGGACACATAACTGGTAAATGCCATTTCCAAAGCTATAAACACCTATTTGAGTGCCTGTGAGCCTCTGTGCATGCGTGACAGTCCAAAAAATGTTATGCCTCTCTTACAATCCAAGCTGCAGCCCAGAACTGGCACTGCTGTGTTTGTTGGTCCTCACAGTAGGGAGGATCAAAAAGTAAATTCTCAAATGCATCAGTGCCAGTCACTCATTTGCCTGGGCACCACCTATGGCTGTAGCCTGGATTTCATCCCTGAACTGCATGCACACAGTTTTTCTGACTGTCAGTTCTGTTCACAGAGACTGCCCCTTGTCACAGAAGCAATGACATTATAATACTCAATAGCATCTTTATCTTGATTATTCCAGTAAATATTCTGTAAAATATTTTCTGTTGTTTGGATCCCCAAAGCCCCTCACTGCTTACATTTATACAAATAATAAGCATTATTTCCTCTGGCATAGCAAAAAAACATTTCAGTGACTGGGTTGCTTGCTTACCTCATGATTTTTCTTCTTTCCTCGCTCTTCTTAAAGTAGCTTCAAAGCCAAAGGAGTGCTGCTCACTGTTGTTATGACTCCCGTTTTATGTGCTTCAGCTCTCACATGATCTAGGAGTCATTTAGAGGAAAGCTGAAAGTGAAACTTCCACTTCTGTCTGAATCTGTAAGGAAGCAGGAACAGCAGCCATTAGGGGAATCGAAACAGGAACACTAAGCTGCTTTTTTATTTTTTTCAGCCTGGCTCCATGCCATGCATTACATGGTGTTGCAGAGAATGTGGCAATAGCTCCTAATAGCTCCCAGCGTTTACTTTGTTCAAATCCAGGGATATCTACGATAAGGAGAATATTTAAGACTAGTATAGACTGACCTGGTTATCATGCATATGCCCGGGAAGGGTCATTTCCCTCTCCTGCCTCTGGTGATGCTTCTTCTCACATTTTTGCACCACACTTCAACAAATCTGTTTTATTGGTATCGTGTCATCCACCATTCGCATGACGTCTTACTGTCCCTGCCTGCACTCATCTATGTCCACTCCCTGTCTCCATATGACAAGTTCTCTGCTGTTGTACCAAAGCTGTATTTCTCTGTGCTATGTAATTTTCTTGGTGTCCTAAATATCCATTCCTACCTAGAAACACTGCTTGTTTCTGGTGTCTACATAAAACTGCAGTTGTACTGGAGCACCTATGGATATTGATTAGTGGTCAGAGTGAACCAAAACAGAGAACAGAATTCCTCTCTATTACCCCCCCATCCACTCTCACAGGGGAAGATAAAAGGGGAGTAAGCAAGAGAAGCTTAAAGGTGAGTAGTTAAAACTAGAGCAGCTCTACTAGAATGGGAAAGGGATTGTAACATATGAATAATCACGGCTAATATGCACATATATGTGAAGTCCAGTTTCAGTGATCACTGATATAGACCAGAAGTTCCTGGTTGGAAAAGTTGACACAGGAAAACAATTCAGGGTCCTTTCCAGTAACCAGTGGAGTCAGATCCTGCAGAGCATGTGGTGTGTTGAAGATAATGAGCACAAGACTCTGTCCAAAAGGTTTACCAGCTGGGTGAAGGGAGGCAAAAGGAAGAAGAGCCAGATTTTCTGCCCTCCTGGCTTTTTAAAAGTATGGCAGAAAATGGAAGGGAATACCAACGCCTTCCTGTTCTGCCCTCTGGATCCTTCAATCCTAAACACCTTCTTTCTAGGTTCTCATGTGAATACCATAGTACTAGCCTATGCTCCCTCAAACCATGACACATACAAACAGATCATTGCTATTAGTTTAAAAGAATAAATACATGCAGACCTGGCATAATAAAATCGATTTTAAGAGTAACAAAGGGATGAGAGAAATAGTATCTAAGATAAGTAAAGATGCTATATATAGTAATTTTGCATGTAACCTGAAGCTGCAGACCAGTGAAGAAAGAGAAATGCATAAAAGCATGTTAGCAAACATACTAAAAATTACTCAAAGTGGATCCTGGGGAGAGGAAAAAGAAACTACCACCATTATCATCATGTTTCTTTCATGATGGGCCATGTAATTCTCCAGTAGTCAGCAGATAGTGACCTGAATGTTCAGAGGAGCAATCTCTAGGGGAAGAAATAGAGACTAAGAGGTGTGTGTGTAACAATTCAAACTATAATATTACCATTTATTTAGACTTTTTCTGTAAGTACTTTATTACTATTTATTTTGGTAATAAATAGATACAGACTGATGGTAATTCTTGAATTAGACTAAGAATATCATTAATTAACAAACAAATATTGTCTTTACCTATGTATATAAAGTTTGCTTCCTCTTTATCCATAAACATCCATTATTGAATCAATTCAATTTTAAAATGTGAAAGCATCTTGTTAAAAAATGTGTAGTTAGATAATGTCTTAAGTATATATGGGTTTCTTGTCTCTGCTTCTGTCCTAGGTGTCTGTTTTCCATGGTACAAACTCACTTCCTACCAGTATTGCTTAGTATCTACCTTGAAATTTATGAGAAAATTAAGGAATTTTCTTTCTGAAATGCAAAAATTTGGCCTACTATCCATATTTTTATAAATTTAGTTGCATTTCTGTATGATTTGTTTGAACAAAAATGCTTATTGAATACAGTAAGTACAGGGAAGTGCTTAGAGTAAATGAAAGTAGGGTAATAGTCATGCAATGTCTTTCTGCAGCTCATTTTTGTAACTTGCTTGGCACAGCACAGCAAAAAATTCAGAATTACTTCTGTAGTCCTGCTGCCTTCTCTTCAGGGAAAAGCTGCGGCTGCGCTGATTGGTATCAGGGAGAGTCACATTGTATAGCAGCAAATGCCAGAGATTCCTGGAAACGCTGGTCCAGAAATGGGCTGCAAACAACAACTGCATTCACATTTAATATAGAGACTTTGTTTATTCAAGTGTTCTGTACATGTACAAGGATAGGGAATGGCTTAAAACATATTTACAAACTTATGAGAGAAAACTCTTATCTGTACTTCTCCTTGGAGCTGAAATGGGTACCTCCTGACAAAGAGTTCTCCCCTGGCATCATTAGTCCAGCCAAACGATTGCCTGAAATGCAGTTATCATTATTAAAATAATGCATACTGTCTATGCTATAGTAAATGACAGGATCATTTAAAATATTTTGTGCAGGTTTCAGTTAAGCCTAGTTTAAAATATAATTATTATGTTTGACAGCTGCAGTTATGGCATTTAGTAACTTGGATTTTCCTCTGGGGGGAGAAGAGTATCCTGTACTTAGTTTTACAGAGAACCTAAGTGAATCACTGAGCAATATTTTTGGCTGCCCAAGTCTTTAAAACAAAATGGTCCCAAGAAATGGGATTCAGGAATGCAAAGGGTCACATAGTGTCTCTTGTACTGAGCGATGTATTCGTGCGTGAGAACAAGGGGGTCTTATGAAAACTTTTAAAAATATATTTTTATTTTTTGATTAAAAAGCTTAACGGTTTCTAAATAGAAACTGTTCTACTTGACACGCTCCTGCTTAGCCACTGTGTATTTTGTATCAAGTTTCTGTATTATTCTGAAGATATTACTATGGGCGCAGTAACATGAATATTTATATTGCAGGACTGAATTTGGTCCAATATTTTGCAAGCCTGGTCACGCGTCTGCTGACTGCAGATACGATTATCTGGGAACTTGTACACATGCGACACGATGCCAGATAGTTTGCCGCAGAGCATGAAGGTGAAACAGGTTTGCAGGAAGCTGATGGTCACCCTGCTGGAACTGCGTGCCTGGATGTAAGTTTAGCCCACTTGTGTTAGATTCGATATGTTTAGACTGTGCTCAAAGGCGTTGGACAGATAATCCGTTCGTGTTTGGACAGCGCTTTGTAGCTCTGAAGGGCCGGTTCTCCCGAGGCGCCGGCGGGGCAGCTCCCCGGGGCCGCTGCGGGCCGAGGCGGGGACGGACGAGGCTTCACCCCCC